AATGTTACAAGAAAAATTTTTATTTTAAATGATAATTTTCATAAAAGATTTTTCCAAAAAAAAAAAAAAACAGAGAGAGATTTTTCTTTCTGACGTCATCCATTACGCATTCTAGAACAAAAGGAATAAAAACCGCAAAAAGTGAAAAAAATAAAAAAAAAATAAACATGGTGGAGTTTAAAAAAAAAAAAAAAAAAAGAAAACTTTTCACGGGAAAATTTTTCATGTTTTTACGGTTAGACGGAAGTCACGAAAAAAAGAAAATTTTTTCTCTTCCCTTTCCCCTTTTTTATTTAACTTATGAGCTTACCTGTAGATTCCATAATAATAATAATAATAATAAAGTATAAAATGTAAAACTGCGCAAAAAGTAAAAAAAAAAAAAAGTAAAAAAAATGGGAAAACGCGTTGTGCTTTTCATATTAAAACACGTTAAACAATTAATATTTTAATGCAGCCATTTTTAACTTTAAAAAAAAAACTTTTAAAATAAAGTAAAAAAAAAAAAGAGTTATCGTTATTATTATTATCATCATCATCATCATCAACTTCGAAATTTTCGTTAAAATGTAATAATAATAATAATAATAAATAACGATTAAAAAATATAATTTATTATTAGCACAAACTTTTAAAATATCTCGTTGTAATTTTTTTAAACATTTTAATAAAACATAAAAAGCAAGAGAAAAATTATCATCTCGTGCCACGTGCATTTTTACAAAAGATGAAATAAATTCATGCGTGAGTTCATGCATTTAAAAAAGAAAAAAAAGGAAGTAAAAGTGCTCATAGATGGTGGATTTAATAAAGAAAAAAAAAATGTGAAAAACGGAAATGAAGGCGTCATAATCATCATAATCATCGTAATCGTAACGTATACGTCTAATTACACTTTTTTTTTTTTTAAATGACATTTTAGGGGATTTTATCAATCTTCGTTTATTGTTTTTTTACCTAATTGCGTTTCCGGCCGAAGGTGATTTAGTTATTTTCGATTTGAGTACAAGTCTATTTTTCATTTCGTCATATTTACTACGTGATGATATCCCTTCGGCGGATTTACTCCTGCATATAATTTCATCTTTTGTTTTTTCACCAAAACATTTTTTTCCATCCATAAACGTTGATATGAACGGGACTCGTGTTTTTGTTTTTTGCACGTCGTAACATCCACCACCGCTACCACCACGTGTCGGTTTTGAATTCCATTCTTCATCGCTGATTCCACGATATATTATTAATCAAAACGATAGATTTTCACATTTTATTTTTATTATTAAAATAATATTTATTTCCTTTCACGCTACGTTCTTTTTTTTCTGGCCATTAATTCATTCGAAATGCGAGGGAATGGAGAATAACGTGGGAGGAACAAAAAAAAAAAATTATTTCGATATGATGAATCGACGATATATCGAAATTAATATCGAAATACTTTTTTCACCGGAATTAGAATAACGTAAATAAAATTTATTACGAATTAGTAATAATAATAACGAGAAAAACAATTTTTAAATCGTATGTTAGTAACGTGTAAATAGAAGAAATATAATAATAATAATAAAATTTTATTAAAAAAAAAAAAAAAGAATAAATTTCGTGCGTAGAAAGCGATAAAAATTTTTTTTTAACGTGAAAACGTTATTATTATTATTATTAAAAAAACGTGTGTGTTAGTAAATATATTTTTTAAAAAAATGTTTAATTCATTAATAATTAAAGAAAAAAATTTTAAAAAGTTTAAATAAAGGGAAATTGATCGAAAGAAAAATGGAAAATTAAACTACCTTAAATCTGCTCCCGTTATGCTTCCGGGTGATGCTGTATTTGACGTTTGTAAATCTTCATCAGATGCACTCGTGTTTTTTTCCGGATCCAAAATGAACAAAATATCGCTTGCTATGTCAGCAACATAATGAAGATGCTCTTGAGCACGATCAACTCTGAAAAATCTTTCCGCCGTGCAAGCTAATTAACAAAAAAAAAAAAACAAAAATTTTTCAATACGTTTCGATACATCGATCGATCGATCGATTTAAATCAAGAGCATTTGTGTTCCTCCGCCATTAAAATTTTATTTAAACGAAAATTCCTATTATTCCACAACGCGTGAGTAGTATGGTGGCATAAGAAAATAAATTTAAAAATTAAAATTTGGAAATTTCTAGAAATGAAAATTAACCGTTAAAATTAACCATTTTCTAAATTAATTCGAGAAAACCGAATTTCATTTAAATTGCCGTCACATGTCAAAAATTATATTATTCGCCATGTAATATTTTCTTTTCTTTTTTTTTTGGTTGTTTATTTTTGAAACGCAAATATTAAATATTTGATTATAATTTTGTATACATGTTGACTTTTCCGCTCGTGTTTCCGGTTTAGTTTTTCTTTTTAAAAATCACATTAGTCTTTTTTTTTTTTTTTCTTGTGACACGATAAAAAAACATGGATTTAAGTCATAAAAAAAAAAAAAAATGTCATGATAAAATGATGAATTATTTAAACAAACTGGAGAAAAAATGAAAAGTAAAAGGAAAAGTAAAAGGAAAATTTTCTTTTTTTTTTTATTACTCATAATGATTTATGAGATTTTTTTTTTTTTTACTTTTGTTGACCGTTGATTAATAATAATTTATCTTTTAGAATTTTCTTGAATTTTTTTCTATTGTTCCTCCCCCCCCCCTTTGATTTCCTCCTCCACGCACACGTTTTTCCCGCCATTTTAAAAATTTAAATGTTTTATTTACTTACAATCAATGAAACACCAATCGGGTGATATTTTAGCCGTACTCGTTTCTTCAACCATTTGATTAATTAAATTTCTAACGATTTCTAGATCGGTACCCGGTGATACTTCCAAAGCTCCAATTTCAGAAGCTGCTTGAGCAAGAAGATCTTTATCGTAGTGATGTTGTTCGTAATCAGACATTCCGATTTTCTGAACGGATACTTTAAGCTTTTCCAACGTGGCCGGTCTTAAATAAAAACAAATTTTTTTTAATCCTGTATAATTTCACTCTAATAATTTATCGTAATAATAATAATAATAATAATTACGGGAAAGGATTTTGCCTGCTTTTTCTCTTAACCAACATGGGAGCTTTATTGAGCAATGATAAATAAATAACGGAAGGTGATAAGCGACAAGCTTCACCATCAACTTGCATCGGAATGGTTTTGGTCGTTATTATTTTAGCTTCTTTACATTGTGTTATGTTGGTACCATGTCCTCCAGCTTGTAGCAAAGGCTTTAATTAAAAAAAAAAATTATATAAGTAATAAAATACGATAAAGTTTTTTTTTTTTAAAAAAGAAATTTTATTACTAGTTGATAAGTTGTAAGGCCAATAACTTCGATGAGTCCATCATCGGTTGAAGGATCAACAGAACCACCGGCACGATTCCATGGACGTGTTCCACCTCCATACCTTAAACGAAAAGATTATATTAATAATAATAATGAACCACTCGTTGCAAACATAATAATAATAATGATAATAAAACATACGAAGGAATGTTTAAAAATACGATTGCGTGTACTTTATGTTCTTTTAACTTCGGCGTTATATCTTTTCCGTCACATTCTAACTTAACAAATTCGGATAAGTCTTTCCATTTTCTTTTGAGCAAATCTTTTCCACCCATCTGACCGTAAAACATTTTATTTCTTAAACGTGAATTAAATCTTTCCGGATGGGCTTCTGAAAGAGTGCGTAATAAAGTTTCTTGAGTAAATTTTTTTTACTTTTAAATAAAAAAAAAAAAAAACTTATTTCAACTTGTAAGAAGATCGCGGGGGGGGGGAAAAAAAGTTTACAATTTAACTTTATCGATTTAGTATAAAACTTTAATTATTTTTAAAACCAATTAAATTGTAAAAAAAGAAAATTTATTATTATTATTAATGTTACTTAGGAATAATAAATTAACATTAAAAAAAAAAAGAAAAATTTTTTTTATATAACCTCTGGCTTCGTGAAATTCCAATGCAATGTGAGCATCGACACCAAGTGAAAAATAATTATTGACTACGTTTAACGGAAGATTTTCTTTACCATCACCATCCGATGATTCTGCTTCGATATTTTTTTCTACTTTAAGCTCCCACCTGTCTAATAAAATAACTTCGCTTTCGGCAACGTTACTAAGTATTTTCCCAATGGGTTCGTCAGTGTAACCCTTTAATTAAAAAATAAAATAAAAAAAATTATTTATTTATTTATTTTTTTTTTTTTCGTCGTCGCTTCCGGGTTCCGGAATGGGAATTTATATAAATACATGCGTGGTGCCGAGAGTGAAAGGATGAGGAGGAGGATGAGGAGGAAGACGGTTTATGAAATATTAAATTGTCATATTACTTACTCCTCCCCAACCTAATGCTCTTGCTAAATCGTTTCCGGTTCCGAGCGGAAGTACACCCACCGCTGGCGGCGTATGAAATTTAATTTGATCTAATATGGACAAAACCCAACCGACGGTTCCGTCACCGCCGCAGGCCAAAATTCTAAGGTTTAAAACTTTTTTAAACATTTCTAATCTAAAACAAATAATAATAATAATGATAATGATGATAATAAAAGACGATTTTTTTTTTGTCGACGAATTTAAAAAAAAAATAAGAAAGTGAGTGAGAGTGAGCGACTTTTTATTACGTCAAACGTTTTTTTTTTTTTTAATTAAATTTATTAACCGTTTCGAAATGGTTTTAAATTTAACAATAATTAATAATAATAATAATGAAATGAATTTTTTTTACCCTATTCTTGGTCCTCCCTGAGTTAAATCGAAAACTTGTCTCGGATTTAATATCCATTGAAATTTTTGCATGAGTTTGACTCCCTGATTTCCACCAGATTTTGGATTAATAAAAACTATCACAGGTTTAACGGAAGCCGATGGTATCGGCTTTATCACAAACGTCCGACATTCTTTTTCTATTTTTTCTTTCGATCTTTTTTTTATTGTTTGTTTCTTTTTAGGTGATTTTCTAAGGCTTGATTTAAAACTACCTTTACGGGGTAATTTAACTATCCACGACGGAGGTACAATTATTTGCTGATGGTTACCTGAATTCCAATCAATTATTTATCGTTATTAATTTATTATTATTATTATTGTAGTTTTGTTTATCGTTCGAAACGTACCCAACGAACATTCTTCCCCAATTTTTTGTACATTGAAACATGATTCTTTATTATGATATGCAGACTTACACCATGAGCAACTGAGAGCGACAATTTCTTTAGTACTGAAACTTAATTTCGATTGGAATGACTTTCCGCATTGTTTACATTTTCCTTTTTGAGATCTTTAATTTTAAAAATTTTTTTATTATTAATTAGACAAAGGAAAAGAAGAGATTACTTGATAATAATAATACAACAAACCTTCTGTGTACCCAATGATGATGAATTGATGTTTGTTCTCTATATTGTCTCACTCCGACATCCCGAAACGTTGGTTTACAATGAAATTTCATACGATCTACTAATATCGGGATGCAAAACGTATGAGCTATGATTTTACATGCGGAACATTTCATCCTGGGTCCATGTTTCTATAAAATTTTTTCTCATTATTAATATATAAAAATTTTAAACGACTACTTTTTATTTTTTAAAAAAATTTTTCAAAGAATAAAATCAAATTAAAATTAAATTACTAATTAATTAATTAATTAATTAAAAAGTTTAATTGACAATAATAAGAAATAAAAAAGTTTTTTTATTTTTTTCATTGTAATTTTACTCCGAACTCGTCTGTAAACTCTTTCTTTCTCCTTTCCCCTCTACTTCAAATCACAACAAAAAAAAAATAATAATAATTAATTAGCGTTTATAAACAAAAACACGATTCAATTGTTAATTTATAACAATTAATTAAAAAAAATTTTTATTAAAAAATAATAATAATATAGGGCGAAAAATAAAACGATCATTTTTTCGTTTGTTTTGTAAAAAAAAAAAATTTTTTTTATTTATGTGAATTAATTTTTTCATGATAAAAAAATATAAATCGAGTTGCGTGTTTAAATAATTGGAAAAATAATAATAATAATAATAATAATGGAAAATTTTTTAAATACATTTTTTGTCACCGGGAAATATCAATGGAAAACACGTGAGAGATAAGAGGTCGAATGGAAAAAAAAAATTTTTTTAAACCATGATAAAAAGTTCATATAAATAAATTAAAAAATTTTATCTTCAAGTACAACAGGTAAACAGGAAACGGAAGTGAATAATATTAATATAAATAAAATTATTAAGTTTATTATTATACGTTGTTAAAACGCGAACGAAAAGATGATAATAATAATAATAATATACGACTGGAATAAAAAAAAAAAAAGGAAAAATTTTTTTTTTTTTTCTTGTAAACAAACATTTTAATAATTTTTAAAATTTGTATAAATTAATTTTTTATGAAAATTTTATTGATTGATTAAATAAATCAATAAATAAAATTACAACATTTCTCACTCTCTCACTCTCTCTCCTCTCTTTCTCATTCTTTGCTTTAAATTTACAAATAAACAAAATTTTCTATTATTTTCTTGTTGTTGTTATTGCTGTTGTTAGTTTGTTAGTTTTAAAATTTTTAGTTATCTTTCGTTCTCTCTCTCTCTCTCTCACTCGTTACGTTTATCTGTTTAATTCTTTATTCAAATATTGATTTCAAGTTATAATTGCATCTTCAAAAATTTTTTTTTTTTATTTAAATAAAAGATATTGCGAATCTAAATCCACGTTGAAATTTATTTTGTAAATGTGAGAAAATTTACCACATTTCAATTGTTATCATATCGGAAAATTTGCAAGAAAACCTTTTCTTTCTTATTTTTCTATTACTACTAGTACTGCTAGCATCTTCGACACCTTTTGAAAACTTTTTTATTGAAAAAGGAAAACGTTTTCGTTATTGTTATACAGTACGTCAATTATCATTTTCGAAACGGATTCGAGAAGAGAAATCCCTAATGCTTCCGGACATTTTCATTCAAATTAACATTCGAAAATATAACTAACTTGTCGATAAATAATTTTAACGATTCAAACTATTGACAAAAAAAAAAATAAACAAAATCCAATCGGAATTTAATTAAATACTTTTAAACGTCATCATTTCACACGGAAAACCTTGTAAATAATAATAATAATAATAATGGATAGGATAAAAGAAAAAAAAAGAAAGAAAGAAAAAGTAAAGTAACGTAACGACATAAAATTGTTTTTGAAATTGTTCAAAAAAATAAAAACTAATGGATATTAGAATGTAAAAAGAATAAAAGAAGAAGAGAGAGAGAGAAAAAAAAGTACATTATCGAAGAACTAAAAAGAGGAAGAAGAAGAATAAGAAGAAAAAAAAAAGACATAAAAGTCATCATTTTTTTCCTTTCCATTTTTTTTTTTTTTTAATCAAAGACAGGTCGAACCTTTTTTTTTTTACAACAACTAAAAACAGGATAAAAAAAAAAAATGGTGACGTGATGAACAAACGGAATGATTTTCATGAGTCAGAACCGTAATGACTCTCAGTTTAAAAAAAAAAAATGTAGGAGTCGAATAATGTACAAGATAAATTTCATTGCTCCCCCCCCCCTTTTTTTTTTTTTAAATAGTAATTTAGTTCGACTCGTTTCCACTCGGTTGATTTTTTTTTTTTTTTTTGTATTCTGTCGTCTCGTTTTTTTTTTTTTCATCTCAATTTTATTTTTTATAGGAATACAACAACAAAAAAAAAGAGAAATAATAATTTACAGTCGCGAAAAGAGAGAGAGAGAGAGAGAGAAAGGACATGGAGTCGATCGTCAAAGTTTCTTTAAGGGCGTGGTCGTGACGTCAACAAAAAAAAAATATGATAGACTATATAATTGAGTTTTTTTTTTTTTTTTTTCTTTATGTCTCTCGTCTACTATGACATTGTGTTATGATTTTCTTTACGAATTTACCTTTATCGCGAATAAAAAAGTTTTCAATGAAAATTTTCACGCTATAAAACGCAGCATTTTTAATACAAAAAAAAACTTTCCCGATAATTTTCCTTTTTTTTTTTTTTTCTGCCGACAAAACCCTATGGAAAAATGAGTCATTTTGATCAACGTGATAATTTATTCATCCCTTTTACCTACTCCCTATTCCCTACACTCCCACCCCGCCGAAAAAAACGAACCGTCTAATAAATTTGAACGTGAAAATGAGGCAATAAAAAAAAAAAAAAATTTAATCAGATGTTTTTGATTAGTCACCGGAGTAAATATTCAAAAAAAAAAAAAACCGCGAAACGCAATATACGTGTAAAATACATATATAAAAACAATGAAGTCATAATTTTTTTTTTACACCCCCTTTCTTCTCCCTTCCCCTCCTCCTATCCTCATTTTAAACTAATGTTTACATTTTTTTATTGTTTTTTTTTCATATACCCTTTTTCCTCCCTCCCCCCTATTTTTTTACAAAAAAAAAAAAAAAAAAAAAAAAACCTCTTCCCTCTTATAATTTTTTTTTTTTAATTTAAAAAAGTCACGCGAAATGTAATTTTTTTTTTCTAACGGGTACCCCGTGAGATTAATCAATCAATCGGTCAGTCACATGATAAAACATTCACACGTTTTTTACGCTTATTAAAAAAAAAAAAATTTCATCCCTTTCCAAACTACCCCCCCCCCCGTGGGAATGCGTAAAAAATTTTACAAAAAAATTTTATTCATTCATTCATTTACTTATTTATTAATTAAATCAAATTTTAAATATTGAAATCGAAGGGAAAAAATTTTTTAATTTTATAATTATTTATTTCATCATCCCTTATTTTATCATCCCTTTCGTTTTGACTTTAAAATTTCCGTGATTTCAAAAAAAAAAAAAAAGAAGGTAAAATCAATGAAAATGATTGACGTTTTTTTTTTCCTTTTTTTGTTTCGAAGGTTAATCAGTTAATATATAAATAATACATATTCGTTTATTATTAATACGTCACGGATAAATTTAACGTTTTATTTATTATTCAAAGGTAAGGAAAGAAAATGTGAGAGAGAGAGAAGGGGGCGGGGCGGAACAGGGGGGGTAAATTAAGGGCCCTTTACAAAATGTTTATAAAATAAAATAAATTATTTAAATGGAAACTTGATCCGTTTCACGGCGAGAATAAATAAATAAAAAAAATAATTAATAAAATTCATAAAATGACTCGTGCGGCGTTGGAACTCCCCACCCCACTCCCTCGCCCCTCCCTTACCCCCTATCTCCTAACTCCCCTTAAAAAAAGAATTAAATTTATTTTGTTTATTACCGAATATTTTTTATTTTTTTTTCCTCGCGTCTGAATTTCATTTTTTGTCATTTTTTTTTTCAGTTCTTTGTCTTTTTCATCCCTGTTCCCTCCCTCAACTCTTTTTCTCCCGTTCCCTCTTTATCCCTCCTTTTTCCTAATTTTCCGCAGTCTTCCCGACGGAATATATAAAAAAAAATCCAATTAAGTTATAAATTAAAGTTTTAAAATTTATTTTTTAACTTTAATTTTTAAGTTTTTTAAGTTTTTTTTTTTTAAATATAAAAAAAAAAATTAAATTTTTAAACTTGGAAAAAAATTTTATAAAAATATAATAATAATAATAATAATAATGATAATGATGATGATTATGACGATAAATCACGTTTGATAAAAACATCGTAAATTTTTTTTTTTTTTTTTTTTTTCCAGAAAGAAATAAAAAAAAAAAAAAGGAAGAAAAAAATATTTACGGTCGTTAAAAACAATTACTGTTATCTCTTTCGCGTTATGAGTCGCGTCATCATGGAAAAAAAAAATAATCGTCGTGTCTTTAAAATGATTAAATAAGATTTAATACCACGACGCGCAAAATTTTCATCGACATTTTTACCCTTATTTAAAAAAAAAATAAGTAAATAAATAAATTATTTAATCAATCAACAAAACAAAATTTTTTTCATCGATTTTTCTCTCTCTCGAAAAAAAAATTATTTATTTATTTTCTTTTTCTTTCCTCCTCCCCCGCCCCTTCTTCTTCTTCTTCTTCCGTACTTTTTCCGCCATCTTGTTAAAGTTAACGACTTTTTATTTATTTACTTTTAAAGATCAAATCCCATCAACCATTTGAATTTTTTTTTTTGTCATTTTCCATATTGAAAAATAAAATCCCATCAATATTATTATTATTTTCTTTCGTTATTAAAATGACAGTTTTGCCAACTTTTTATAAAAAAAAAATTTCATTACCCTACGTTTAACCGTATCCCCCTCCCTCATTATTTCTTATAAAACATCTATCAAATTCTATTTAAAAAAATAATAATTGGATTAAAACTTTTATAAACTTTTCTCCTTTTTTTTTTGATCTTAAGCGTTTACGTTTTAAGGCAGTCTCTCCCCCTCTCCCTCTCTCCCTCTCTCCTTCCCCTCCCCCTCTCTCTATTTTCTTTTGCAAAAAAAAAATCTTATTATTATGTATTACGCGTAAATTTTTTACCTTAAAGGTTTTAATGTTTAATTGAATTTTTATTACCTGAATACATAAACATTAAAGTACAAAAATTTCGGTTATGTTTTATACGCTTTTATTTAATAATTCCATAAATTAATTTACGATCTACGATGATGATGATAATAATAATAATCACGCCATTAATATTATTAACAATTCCATTTTTATTTATTTAAACAATTATTAACGATTCGCGAGTATGTTTTTTCGCTTATAAATTTTTTACCAAGTACAAAATGAATTTTGTATTATTATTATTTATATGAACGGAAAAAGTTTAAAAATTTTTTATCGATCTGATTCGATCGATTTTTAAATAAATAATAAATTCCCCCCCCCTTCTCTCTTTCGTTCGAATTATTTAAAACTACGTCGTAAAAAAAAAAAAAAATCGATCGATGGATGTGTTTGTAATAAATATTTGAAATATCGGAAGGTCGTTACAAAACAAAAATTTCGCCTTAAGTTTTCTTTTTGTATGTAAAAAAAAAAAAAGAAAAGTTCTAGAAAAAGTATGCCAATGTTGACCGGTTTTTAATTATGTTCTTTTACCAAATAAAAAAAAAAAAAAACACGAATTTTTACAAAACATCGCAAAGTACGCGCGGTAAATGGTAATGTTTTTATTTTTTTAATTTGTATTTCCCCCAACGTTAGAAGGACGAAATGATTAAATGAAAAACAAAACAAAAACCTTCAATTAAATAATTATTTGTGTTAATAACAGGTTGGAAAATATGCGAAAAATTGCATTTTAGTGTATTTTCATGTTATTTTTTTCTGTTTTTCTCTTCTAATACATATTCATTATTATTATTATTATTATTATTATTATTATTATTATTATTAATAAAAATCATTATTATATTTATTATTATTACGTAATAGATTTTTCATGTTAACTTTTAGAGGTTCTTTTTGAGGAAAATATTCTAAAGGTAAATAATTTAGAATTTTCATTCGAATCTATCATTTCAAATGTATTCGACCATATTGTAAACTCATTATTATTATTATTATTACTAATAAAAGTTGTAATGAAAAACATGCGGGATAGTTTTTTAATAAAATTTAATTACTTTTTTTTTTTTTTTTTTGTAAAATTAATAGAGGATAGAGCAACGGTAAAAAAAAAAAAAAATTATGTTCCATTGTTTTTTTTTTTGTTTTCCTTTTTTTTCCTTTTTTTCCTTTAATTTTTTTTTCTTTTTAAAAAAAAAAATAAACAATCACCTAATTTAAATAAATATAATTAACGTTAATAAAGACCGAGAATTATTATTATCATTATTATCATTTTTTACGTGGTTTTAATTACATTTGTTTGTTTGCTTGTACGTTTTTTTCTTTTTTTTTCATTTGCCTCATGTTTCTTTGTTTGTTTGTTTGTTTGTTTGCTCTCCTCTCTTTTTTTTACTTACTTACTTATTTATTTTTTTTAATTAAAAAAAAAAAAAAAAAATTTTTTTACGCGACGTTTTTCCCGACGTTGTGGAGAAAATTAAAAAAAAAAAAAAGATTTAAATTTTAAATTTGACGTAATTTTTTTTGTAATTAAAATCTCTAAGGCGTTTAAATAAAAATTTAATTTTTATTTTCATTTTAATTCGTAATTATCATTATTATTAGTTATAAATAATTTTCAATTCGATCGATTAGAAATCGATTAAAAAGTACGATTATTATTATAACGGAAAAAATTTTGAATCATTTTTGTTATTATTATTATTAGTAAATAGGTCGAGAATTTTATTACAATTATAAATACACATTCACGCGATAAACGACTTTCTCTCATTTCTCACTCATTCATTCACTCATTCATTCACTCATTCATTCATTCATTCATTCACGTGACAGTAAATTAAAAATAATTTTCTAATTGTGTACATAATAAATTCAATGGAAAAATTTTTTTCTCCTAATGAAATCAATAAAATATCGATTTTAAAAAAAAACTAAATTGTTCAATTACTACTACCACTACCACCTCTACTACCACTACCACCTCTACTACCACTACCACTACTACTATCGCTACTACGACAACCTCTTATCATTTTCTCTTTTCCTACATTAAAAATTTAAATTTTCGCGTTTTGGAAAAACGTTTACCGAGAACAAACAAACAAATAAAAAACAAACACGCGTAAATATTTAAATTTCGTTTTTATTTACTCTTAATAAATAAATTATTATTATTATTATTATTAACGTAATTTTCTTTTAAAATAAATAAATCGATGATAAAATTCAAGCGAAAATAAAAAAATGAAAGTGAAAATGAAAATCGTTCGCGTCATATTAAATTTCAACGAACAAATGAAATAAGATCGACCGTCGCCATTTTGAAAAATTTTATTTTTCCTTTTTTTTTTTTGTTTATTACGTAATAAAAATTAATTAAAAAATTATTATTATTTTTAATATATATTTGTCTTACCGTACAGTCATTTTCTCCGACGTAACAAAAATCTCCAGATGCAGAAGTTGCACTCCATAAATGGTCCCCGTTAATCGCCGTTTCCGACCAATTCGGCGTCGTACGAATTGTTCTTTCTTCCGTCGATTCATTACCAAGTGCTAGTTTTCTAAAAAGAAAATGAAAAAACGTTATCATTATCATCATCATCATCATCATCATTGTCATCATCATAAAATCTACAGCAAAAAAAAAAAAAAAAAAAAACGGAACACCAAAGAAAATAAACTTAAAAATTTGATTTGATTCGATTTTGTAAAAAAAAAATAAAATTTTTCTAACCACGTCATCATCATCATCATGATTATTATTATTATTATCGATTTCGTATAAATCGCAGCAGACGACGAATTTATTATTATTATTTTTTTTTGGGAAACTCACCCGCTTAAAACAACCGAATTTCTAAAGGCTTTATATAAGCCGATATGTTGACAATTTTCTTCATTGTTACAACATATTTTTTTATTTATATTATTTAAATTATTTTTATTTTTTTCTTCTGCTTCGTCAATGTTGTATTCTTTCCGACAAAAAAGCCAATCAAATATTAACATTTATTATTATTATTTTTTTAATACGATAATAATAATAATAATAATAATACAAATCGAAAGGCAAGTAAAAAAATAAAATCATAACAATAAGTTCCACATGATTAACGACAACAACAACAACAACAACCAAATAAATTGGTTAAAAACAAATTTAAATTTAAATTTAAATTGTTATATGTATATTAATTTATAAAATGTCTTCTGCTTTTGCAGATTTAATCATTCGCGTGACGTCACATAACTAAAAAAAAAAAAATTTTTTAAATGATTTTTTTTACTTTTTTTTTTTTTTGCCCTTTTCCCTTTCATTATTTTGAATATGTTCATATTTTCCCGTGGGGTGGGTTGGGGAGGAAGGGGGGTTAAAAAAACCAGTAAAATTAATTATTGTTATTATCATTATCGTAATCGTCATCGTCCTCATCGTCGTATTAGTTATAACGCCTTATTAAAATCTTTTCACGTATAAAAATGATCTTACGTGATAATGTAATTTAGAAAAAAATGATACAATCGACTGTTTCTTTCTCACTCACTCTCTTCCTCTCTCTCTCTCACTCTCTTTCCGATCCGATGCGTATATTTTTATACTTCCGGTTATTTGAATAACAATTCTAACGTGAAAATAGAAAATTTTTTGTTGTTTTCGAAAATAAAATTTGAATTTTTTTTTTTAAATTGATGGTCTGGAAAAGAAATGAAAAAAAAAAAAAAAGGAATGAAAATTAAAAAGAGAGAAAGAGAGAAAGAGAGAGAGAATAGAATATCGTCGAAAGTATCATTTTTCCATTCGAGTCATCATCAAAATTTTTTTTTTTTTTATGTTGAAAATGTAAATGAAAAAAAAAAAATTTTAAGTTTTTATTACAATCGTGTGTCGTCACACTTTAAATTTTTATATATGTGTATGTATACATGCTAAAAACAAATGCACTCTCTCTCTCTCTTTCTCTCTCTTTCTCTCTCTCTCATCTATATATATAAACAAAATAAAGTCAAACATCCTTTTTTACAAAAAAAAAAAAAAAAAAGTATATAAAGTCGAGTGGATGACGCTTCAACTAAATAGTTTTTCCTTTTTTCCTTTTTTTCTCTTCAGGCGTTGGGCCCTCGACTTAAATAATAGAAAAAAAAAAAAAAAAAAAAGGAAACGGATAATAAAATAAAAAAATTTTTTTTTGTTTAAATTTTGAAAAATTTTACCGAAAAAAAAAAAAATTAAATAAATAAATTTAAATTTTTTATTTTATTTTTTTTTCTCCATTTTCTCTCTTTTCGTCCGTAGCCATTTTTTCCCCAAATTTTTTTTTTTTTTTTTTTTATAAAATTCAAAGGAAATTTCTAATTAATTAATAACAAAGGATTTTTTCCTTTCCATATTTTCCTTTTATATAACATTATCAAAGGAAATAAAATTTAATTTTAAAATTTAATGCACTTTTCCCACCAAAATAAAACACGTCAACCCTTTTTTTAATTAATAATATTTAAGTTACAACAACAAAACGGAAAGAGAGAGAGAAAAAGAGAGAGAGTGAATGAGTGAGTGAGAGAGAGAAAAAAGATTCATTAATTTAACATTTTTTTTTTTTATTACTTTTGTTAAAAAAAAAAAATTTATCGAAATTTGCGATTAATTAAAAACCTTTTAAGGTTTCCGAAAAAAAAATAATAATAATAAAACAAAAACCAAAAATTAAATTACTTTCTTTCTTTTTAAAAAAAAAAAAAAATTAATTTTTAATTTTACATTTTTATGAATAAAAAAAAAAAAATGAAATTAAAAAAATTCGCAGGGGGGAAAACATAACAAAAATAAAAAGAAAATTTTTTTTTTTTCCTTTGAAAAAACGAATCGTGCGACAACAACAAAAATAAAACTAAAACCGTAAATAATTTTTTTCCTCTTTCGTTTAAAAGGAGGAGGAGTAGGAAGCGGGGGGGGGCTAGGAGGAGGAGAAGAGGAAGAAGAGAGAAATGGGGGCGGGGCGGGGAAAACTAAGTACCATTAACGAAGAAAAACAATATTTTTTTCCCCCCGAGAGGGGGGCAGGGAAGAGGAGGAGAGAAAGGGCGAGGAGGAGAATAAGGTTAGGTAAACGAAGCGCAAAAAAAAATTATTATTATTATTATTATTATTATTTTTTTATTATTAAGTAAAAAATTGAATTTTATTTCGATTTGAAATTTTTTTTCCTTTTACGTAATAATAATAATAATAATAATAATAATAATAATAATAATAATAATAATAATAATAATAATAATAATAATAATAATAATAATAATAATAATAATAATAATAATAATAATAATAATAATAATAATAATAATAATAATAATAATAATAATAATAATAATAATAATAATAATAATAATAAAGCCAACGGCCATAGCGTGCTGGTCACACCGGTTCCCGTACGATCACCGAAGTTAAGCAGCATCGGGCGTGGTGCAAACTTGGATGGGTGACCGTTTGAGAACGCCACGTGCTGTTGGCTTAAAAAGAGCAAAAAAAAAAAAAAAAAAAAAATGAGAACAAGACAAAGTAAGAACCAAAAACAAAATCTTGTTCTACTGTCGACCTGAGGCAGCTCGACGAGAACGTGAATTTCACTGCTTCTGACCCTGGCCACTCCAAAGATGTTAGTCACCGGAGCCCAGTTCAGGAGATAAATCGTTCCCATCGAAAAAGACGGACTCAGGAAGACCTTCAAGAATTGATGTGGTGCTATCTTATAATAAGTGGCACCACCGAAATTCGAGTATTTGTCCCTAAGGAATCGGGTAGAAACCTCGGATAAATACTTAAAAACTCCGACAAGTAGCCTTGTCGTGTTTAATGGTGGATAATAATAATAATAATAATAATAATAATAATAATAATAATAATAATAATAATAATAATAATAATAATAATAATAATAATAATAATAATGATGATAATAATAATAATAATAATAATAATAATAATAATGATAAACGTTTATTAACACGAATCCGCGATCAAATAATAAATTTAAATTTTACTGTCGCATTGTTTGTTTGTTTGTTTGTTTGTTGTTTTCGGTCGATACTTTTAAACTCGAGAAGAACAAAATTAAATCGTTTTTATCACTGATAAGATGAATAAAAATAAAACGTGGCACGAATGAATTAAAAAAAAAAAAATTCAACAGTTTTTTTTAAATTCGTACAACAAAATTCTTTAACACGTACGATTTCATTTCTTTTTTTATTTACGTGTCAAAAACAGTTTTTTTTCCTTTTTTTCCTTTTTTCCTTTTTTATTAAAATCTTTTCATCGTATAATATATATATATATATATATATATATATATATATATATTTTCATCGTTATAAATTAATTAAATTGATTGATGCGTTATGGAAAATAAATAATAATAATAATAAATTTGATGGAATTTTTTTGGGAAGCACATTAAGTATCATCGATATTATCACCACCGCGTAATTATATTATTATTATTATTATTATTACTATCACTTATAAAATTCCTTTTAATGTTTGTTGGATTGTTTTTCCAACATTTATTGTAGGTTTCTACCCGTCGATCCCCAAGGAATAAATTCCTGAATATGGCAGGGATGTCTGATGGATAGGTTTCGTCTTTTCTATAACCTATGACATCACAACAATTTTTGTAAGTCTCAGTTTGAGTCCATCTTATTCAATGGAACATATTATTATTATTAAATAAAATTGTTTTTTACGAAATGGAAAATTAATTTATATCAATTATGAAAATAAAAATTATCGTCGTAAAGGATAAAGATTAACTCCGTTAACCCCATTTTTCGTATTTAATTTTTTGTATGAATACAATATCTCTCTTTCTCTCTCACTCTCTCCCTCTCTCTATCTCTCCCTCGCTCTTTTAGATCCAAATTAAAAATAAATAATAATTTTTTAATTTTTTTGAAGCCTCTATTAACCGGCGAATAAAATTTTTATTTGTTGTTGTCAATTGTAAAGCCCGAAAAAATTAAAATTCATGCAATTGAAATATTCTTTTGGACCTACTACTACTACCTTAATCCCCATTTCTTCCCCTCTCCCTCCCTTTCCCTCTACTCCCTCCCGTTTAATTTTTTCTCTTTTTTTTGTTCAATTGGGAATTAAAATTGATGATGAATGAAAAAAAACTTGAATAACTTAATTTAAAATTATTTTTCAAACGTTTTTAATTGGATTTTTTTTTTTATTAAACAGGGATAAATATAATTGATATCACAAAGGTAAAACGATAACGAGGAGGGATAAAGTGGAGGGGGTAGGGAGGGGAAGGGTAATTTTGAAATCATCCTTTAAATTTTTCGGATTAAAAATAAAAAAATGAAACTCGATGAAAATTAAAAAAAAAAAACTTGCGAACGCCCACTTAAACCTGGGTGTGATGTGTTTGTTTTGATCGAGAAACAAACTATTGTAATGACGTCAGAATAATAATTTAAATCTCGGAGTTTTGTAGCAAACAAACAAACAAACAAACAAACAAACCTTGATGTGAAAAAAAAAAAAATTTATATGTTAATGAATAAACAAGTTACGATTGTAAAAAAAAAAAAAAATTTTTTTTTTTTTATAAATAACAACAAAAACAAAAGGAAAGAAAAAATAAAAATTAATAAATAAATAAATGAAACCTAAAAATGAAAACTACTCAAGACAATGCCTGATTTCATCTTTATTATATTTTTTTTTCCTTTTTCTTTTCCCACATCTTCGTATCATTCTCTCTCTT